TATTTCTGAACTTCTTATATTGCAGTTATTTTATGTATGTTTCATATGTAACATAAGTTTAGAACTTTAATTCTTCTTAGCGCTTATAAACAAGCCTGAAAAAAAAATATAGGGTTCCATGGCATTTATACGTGTACATGTATGTACGTCAACAATCTGATTAAAATCAGGTCTTTGTTACGCTCCGAAATTTTGATGATCGCTGTACTTTGTACAGCGTTTATCAAAATTTCGGAGCGTTACAAAGGCCTGATTTTGATCAGATTGGTACGTCAAATATGCCAATCTTTAACAGAGTTATCGTTCCCGCTACGCTCCACTAATATGTTTTGTAACGAAGAGTAATAGGCCCTCTGGTGAGAGATTGCAAACAAATCGATCGGCAGTAAATGACTAAAAATTTCACTCCCCACTCCTACAATCTCCCCTGGTATTTCTATATTTTCTGTAATATTCCTAAATTCCATTATTTATCTCAAATAGTGAATATTTTTTTTTAAACGAAAATAATACCATACCTAAATATTCAGCCAACTGGGTAAATGGTTATTATTTAGTGCTCAATACTACACTTCCGTATAGCACTGGTTCTCTGACCTTGGTTTCAGTCGCTGCCGCTAGGAATTACAAGGAAGTTGGATTTCAAGGCGCTTGTGCCCGTTAACCAATGTCAGGGTACCAGTCTAGCAAGCGCCCTGAAAAACCAACGACAGGTAACCACCATAGGCATTCCCCAGCTTAATTGTTAAAAAATATATATCTACTATACTATAAAAATAACAAGGCATGAAACTAGCCTCCATGTTGGATTCCCCCTAGGGACACTTTCTGACTAATAGCGAGAATTTCTCGCCAAAGTCGGAATTTTCTCAGTAATCAGAAGCTGTCATTTATTGAAATAAAATCAAATCAGGTTGAATCTTGCAGTACGTTCGTCGCATTCACGCGTTTTTAGTCAGCCCACGGGCTGACTAGTTATCTTACGAAGAACTTCAAATGCGCTTGCGTGTTCTGGAATTCTGGGAGGTAGACTGGTACCTTGACATTGGTTAACCTAAGGAACGCAAACGATTCTGGGAGATTGACTTAGAGTAAGTCACTCCTGTTGATTTCGTTTCAGTAACATCAATATTGATTAAACAACGAAATCCCTATTTAACACCATATACCAATAAAATGTAAATACAGGTTAAAATAGTAAACACGTTTGGTGTTGATTTCTTCGGAAAAACTGCTTATATTGAGGTTTTATAGTTTGCATTTTTTAACAGTTTTATAATCTTGTTCGCAGTAATTTAACTGGTTCGCGTCTATTCATTAGTAAAACGTGTGTTCTACGCAACGAAGCATAAAATTGTATAAATTCATTTTACTCATTGTTTGGTGCATCGGTTAAAACTCTTTTGAAAAGTATCTTAAATGTATTTTACATGTGTATTCAATTCTGCAGCATAAATATTCATAAGTTGCATTATTTCAGATTTTGAAGCTTTTCAGTTTTTGTTGGTTTTACTTTCGTTTTCATTTAAAGCATTTCGATCTCGATGTTAATTACCAATATGATTTGTAAAGGCATGCAATGAATAGATCGAGAGAGACACAGCTGGCTTCGCCTGCTACATTCTTTTTAGCTCACCTGAACTGAAAGCTCAATTGAACTTTTCTGATCACCCGTTGTCCGTCGTCCGTCCCTCCGTCTGTAAACTTTTCACATTTTCAACTTCTCAAGAACCACTGGTCCAATTTTAACCAAAGTTGGTACAAAGCATCCTTGGCTGAAGGGGAGTTTAAAATGTCAAAATGAAGGGCAAGTCCCCTTACAAGGGGAGATAATCAAGAAAAGGCAAAAATGAGGTGGGGTCATTTAAAAATCTTCTCAAGAACCACTGGGCAAGAAAATCTTAAACTTATGTGGAAGCATTCTGAGGTAGTGTAGATTCTACACTGTTCAAATCATGACCCGTGCGGGTAGGATGGGGCCACAATAGGGAATCCAAGTTTTTCATAGAAATATATAGGAAAAATCTTTTAAAATCTACTTCTCAAGAACCTCTGGGCCAGAAAAAGCATCCTGGCTTAGTGTAGAATCTAAATTGTTCAAATCATGACCAGGGGTAGGGTGGGGCCACAAAAGGAAATCCAAGTTTAACATTGAAATATATAGAAAAAAAATCTTTAAAAATCTTTATCTCAGGAACAACTGGGCCAGAAAATCTGAAACTTATGTAGAAGCATTCTGGGGAAAGGTAGATTCTACATTGTTCAAATCATGACCCCGTGGGATAGGGTTGGGCAACAATAGGGAATCGCAAGTTTAACATTGAAATATATAGAAAAAATCTTTAAAAGTCTTCATCTCAAGAATCACTGGGCCAGAAAATCTTAAACATATGTGGAAGCATTCTGGGGTAGTGTAGATTCTACACTGTTCAAATCATGACCCCTGCGGGTAGGATGGGGCCACAATAGGAAATCCAAGTTTTTCATAGAAATATATAGGAAAAATCTTTAAAAATCTATTTCTCAAAAACCTCTGGGCCAGAAAAAGCTGAAACTTATGTGGAAGCACCCTGGGGAAGTGTAGAATCTAAATTGTTCAAATCATGACCCCCATGGGTCAGGTGGGCCCACAAAAGGGGATCCAAGTGTTACATTGAAATATTATTATATATATAAAAAAATTCTTGATATCTTCTTCTCAAGAACCCCTGGGCCAGAAAAGCTGAAACTTATGTGGAAGCATCCTGAGGTAGTGTAGAATCTAAATTGTTCAAATCATGACCCCCTGGGGTAGGGTGGGGCCACAATAGGTATTACAAGGAGGAAAATCTGGTGAAGAACAACAGGGCTAAAGTTACTTAGTTGAGCCTTTTGGCCCATGGGCCTCTTGTTTATATGTTCGTCTGTCCATTAAATTAGACAATTAGGCTGTGGGAATTCAGGTTGGCTTGTAATTATATAGTTATAAGCATGAAAAGATTGGTAATAAATTTGTAAAAATGTTTTATTTTATTTTCAAATTCTACATTATTTCAATGCACATATGACAACTACAGTAAAGGATTCAATTCATGATACATAATTCTGAAGGGAGAACTATTTGATTTTGATAGGTGCTGGCAGATTTTGGAGAGAGAAAAAAAATCTGTCCTTCAAAATGTTGAAAAAAAAATCTATTTTCCATTAGGAAGAAAATAAATTATTTGACTTTGAGTGATGATAACCCCCTCTCCCCCACCCCCGCTTTCCGCACACACTCTAATTTCCTCATTTCCCCCCTTATTTTTCGTTACCCACTTTTTTGGTGTAGTAGAAATAAAAAAAACTGTCCTTAATCATCTTGGAAATAAATAATCTGTCCTTCAATGACATGAAAATAAACATTTAAAAAAATGTCAGTCCTCCCCCCTCTTTAGAATCAAATTGTCGTACTCTAAATTGTATTATTCTGTTTTGGTGTCTTTGTACCATCCTTGAATATTTAAAAAAAAAAAAAAAAAAAAAAAAAAAAAAAAAAAAAAAAAAACTCTTCTCCCTTTGTATAGTTCCATTTCTTCTAATACATCTCACAATTTTCGTGCAGAACTTACTTCTGCAAATATCCGCTTTATTTCATTATATTTATTTACTACACATTTAACCCCCCTCCCCCCCCCCCCCCAGTCAAATCCACCTCATCTGTTTAAACGTGCCCCCTCCTTTCGCCCCTATAATTTTGCCAATACACGAATATGCTAATACTATGCATTAAAAAACAAACCTAACTTACGATTGTCCTCCTTCAATAGGCCTAATATTTTTTTTCTCGTCAAAGAATTGTTGTTCGGTTGTCCACCCCCCCCCCCCCCCCCATAACACACACACAAACACACACTGAAACAGCTTTTTATGAACCGAAAATGTAAAAAATTAAAATTTTGCAAGGTCCTATTGATGTAAAATTATATTTCTTTCACGGTACGTTCGTTCGTTATGAAAAACAACGTTCATTTAGCTTTTCATGAGATGCACTTTGAAGGTAAACGACGATCGAATTATCTATACCCCCATAAACCTTCAAGTTCCGGCCGAGGAGACCTGGTTTGCAGAGAAATGTTAGAAAACGCGTGAATGCGACGAACGTACTGCAAGATTCAACCTGATTTGATTTTATTTCAATAAATGACAGCTTCCGATGTCTGAGAAAAGTCCGACTTGGGCGAGAAATGTTCGCTATTAGTCAGAAAGTGTCCCTAGGGGGAATCCAACATGGAGGCTAGTTTCATGCCTTGTTATGTTTATAGTATAGTAGATATATATTTTTTAACAATTAAGCTGGGGAGTGCCTATGGTAACCACTGCCATTTTATAACAGCACGGATGATAAAAATCTATATTTAGACTAGCGTAAAGCCATAGTGCTGATGTAAACAAACCTTCTTTCTGCACTCCACACTGCTGTAAATAAAGAAAGTACACGGAATATTTAACTATCTAAAACCACCTAAAACCGTTAAGAAGTGCTTCCTTAAAAATCATTGGCAAGCGATATCACAGGCCTACAATCTATGATTTTTTTTACTTGCATGCATATTTGCCATTCGCCCATTGGTATGATAAATCATTGATTCAACTGTGACATAACGTGTTCTTTACCTTTATTTATCTTTTCAAGTCTACAGGGAATGCTACCGTTTTACTCGTCTCTCCAACTGCATAATTCGCTGTAAATTTCTTTATACGTCAGGATCGCAAATGTTAACACTAATGGAACATTGTCGAGTTCATTGTGACATTTGTAAACTATATTCTTAATCAATACAGTCACTATCGTGTTATTTGAATATTTTCCCCGTTTTTCATTGTTTTATTCTTCAATTTAAATATGCTACGATTTGTTATCTCTGTTACTTAGATCACTGGATCCACCTAACATTATTCTCCGCAAGCATGGATGCTATGTATTTTTAGAATGCGCAATTACTATGCGCTACAAAACAGTGAGATTTTCCACTGTCATGGCGGCGGTGTTACCTGTCCTTGTAATTCCTAGCGGCAGCGACTGAAACCAAGGTGAGAGAACCAGTGCTGGGCGCTTGCGCACGTAAACCAATGTCAGTTTACCAGTCTATTATCCGTAATAGTTCTTACTCTCATCAGTCTCTGCCTTGCGTTGAGTCATTTTACATGTTAGCACTTAATAACCCCAAAATGATCGATCGATTGTGAGGGAGAGAGAATTTATAAGCACTTTCAAACACTGTGAGGGGGATTTTGGCGTCTCGTGATTAAGATTTAGAGAGTATACGTTGAATAATTGCAACAGCTGTACATTGAATGTTGTCAACATAGCATCTGTGTGTAAAATTTAGTGTGATATCGATTATAGGAAAGAACGATGTTAATGAAACCCCCTCTCTCACTCACACTCCAGACGAGACGTATACATGCTAAATGTTTATACTGCAAAATTAACGTGAAATAAATGTCAGATTATGCAAGTGATAAAAAAATGTTCAATGTATTCACGCGATTGTACATTGCAATTGTTTAATTGTTTTTTTTTTTTTTTTTTTTTTTTTTTTTTGAATTGACCTTAGTAGTTAATTTTAATAGAATAATATTAATATGTAAAATATAAATGTACACCACCTGTCCCTCTTTCTGAAGGGCCCTTGATTGGTAGACCGACCTTTTTTTTCGATCTTAATTATGTGCTTCGTACCAAAAATAAAACTTGTAACAGGACGTACCTAATTGACATGTATCTTATTTCCTTCGTTCGATAGCATATTCACGTGATGAATCCATATTTCCTCAATATTGTATGCATGTATAAAAAATAAGGTCATTCCAAGTTTTTTCTATGTTTAGCGTCCGCGTGCGCTTTGATTTTTGATACCCATATCAGAAAAAAACAAACAAAATCAGGAGTCCTAAAGTTGATTATTCTGGTCGAAATCTGAGAAATCTCTCAATTTCTCTATATATTTGTCTACAATATGTCATATTAGGTATATTTTAAGCATTTAATGCTTTAATTGATTTTGCTGAAGAATAGATCTTCCTACAAGAAAAATAGATGAAATCAAATCCCTTGAATGACGTCATTTTTATTACTATGAAATATGTGTTTTATTTTTTGTCTTGTGTGTTTTTTGCAAATAGGTAGGTAGGCTTTTGAATGATGGGTGGACGCTAAACAGAGAAAAAACTTGGAATGGCCTAAATATATGACGTACTTTTTCCATGTTTAAAGTACATGTATTTTTGCACACGTGCCTACGTATTTATAATTACATCTCTCACTCTCTACTTAAGTAAATAATGTGTTTATGTAGATAAAGGTCCCCTTCTTCTACGTGTCTTTGTCTCATATTATGACGATTATATTTTACTCTAACAATCTTTTGATTATAAATCTGGGAGCTTTGCCCTCTACACAAGAGTTTTGTCTTGGCCCGACAAAAATTGTTTGAAGAACAACAGAGCCAGATTATTTCTCTAAGGAACAGCAAGACTATAATTAGTGTTATTAACATTCAAGCATTTCTATATAGTGCAGAATAAAATTTGTTCGGATTTTGCAAGAGAAATCTTAAAAGAAATGCTGAACATCAAACAATATTTTTATGCCCCTGTATCGAAAATTTGTCCGTCCGTCTGTCTGTCTGTTTGTCTGTTTGTCCGCAAAAACTTTAACATTGCCCATAACTTTTGATTGGTTGGAGCTTCATATTTCACATGTGTACACCTTGTTATAAGACCTTTCTTTAGATATCACCATATTTGACCTTTTGACCTTGACCTTGGAGTTTGACCTAGTTTTACAAAATTTTACCCAACTTTAACCTTGGTCATAACTTTTGAACAAATGGAGCTAGGGCTTTCATACTTCACATGTGTAATCCTTGTGACAAGACCTTCCTTTGGATACCAACAACTTTGACCCTTTGATCTTGACCTTGGAGTTTGACCTGCTTTTGAAAAACTTCAACATTGGCCATAACTTTTGAACCGTTGTTGCTAAGGCTTCCATACTTCATATATGCAATTCTTGTGACACGATATTTCTTTGGATACCAACAACTTTGACCCTTTGACCATGACCTTGGAGATTGACCTACTTTTGACAAACTTTAACCTTGGCAATAACTTTTGAACAATTGTTGCTAGGACTTTCATTCTTTTCATATGTAATCCTGTGACAAGACCTTCCTTTGGATACCAACAACTTTGACCCTTTGACCTTGACCTTGGAGTTTGACCTACTTTTGAAAAACTAACCTTGGCCATAACTTGTGAACCATTGGTGCTAGGGATTTCATACTTCACATATGTAATCCTTGTGACAAGACCTTCCTTTGAATACCAACAATTGTAATCCATTGACCTTGGAGTTTGACCTACTTTTGGAAAACGTAAATCTTGGTCATAACTTTTGAACGATAGGTGTTTCAGCTTTCATATTTCACCAGTATATTTCTTGTGAGAAGGCCTTTCCTTAGACACCATTATTTTTTTAACATTTGACCTTGACCTTGATGTTTGACTTTTGAAAAACTTTAACCTTTTCCATATCTATTCAATGCTAGAGCTCTCATATTTCACAGGTATATTCCTGGTTACTGGGTATTACTTTGGGTACCAACATATTTGATTTGCATTTGAGAAAGTTTAGTCTTTGCTATAAGTTGCCATAAGGGGGCATCAGTGTTTCACAAATACATCTTGTTTATATTAATATTCAGATCGCCCCAGGTCGTGCCAAACAGTGGCCCCAGAGTGGTTGGGGTGCGAAGATTTTTTTAACATGGGAACTTAATGGGGAAAAGTTTGGATGTTCATGATTATATGAATTTGCAGAAAGATATTGCAGAACAAACAAATTAGATACATATTCTATGTACACCTAAAGATGGATGTGAGAAAATCCTGAAAGCGGTAGTAAATTAAAATTTGAAAACTGTACATTTTCTTATAAATATATATATATAATTAGATCTTTCGTAATAATAAATAAGTAATAAATATCTTGAATCAACGATTTGCTCATTCCCATTTTCTTAATTTATAAAGTCGTATATTAATGCTCATCTGGAAAGAAATAGAAATGAAAATAAAATTGAAACAAAACAACGATTTAGACTAAGTTAAAAGTAGTTTTTAAATACAAGTTTTATATATTATAATTAAGGAACTGTTCTCTCTAACTACCTAATATAACGTCTGATTTCCCATTATTAGCAGACCTTTTTTGTATTCATATGAAGCAGAATTTGTCCAAAATCTTATACGTGAAAAGAAGAAAACACTTGCTGTGGCCTTCAACTCGAAATTTAGATATATCGACGACGTATTGTCAATCAACAATTGTTATTTCCATTCTTATGTCGATACGATATATCCCCGTGAGCTTGAGATAAAAGATACTTTAGAGTCTGACACATCTGTTTCATATTGGGATTTTTTACTTGAAAAAGACGTTAATGGTAATCTAACAACCAAGCTTTATGATAAACGTGATGACTTTAACTTTTCAATCGTCAACTTCCCTTACTTATGCAGCAATATACCTTCATCACCTGCATACGGGATTTATATCTCTCAGTTGATTCGATACGCAAGAGCATGCTTCTACGTATGTACAATTTCTAAAACGAGGTATACTATTGACAAACAAGCTGATGAAACAAGAATATCAGCAGTCTCGTTTAAGGTCATCATTTAGTAAGTTCTATGGTCGATACAATGACCTTGTCAGCAAATACAATTTATCATTGAGTCAAATGCTGACTCGCGTTTTTCATACCAATTGTTAGGCTATTATTTACACACTGAATTGTCGACGGATTTTTCCCTTATTTCCCGATCATGACAAGGAGCACACGGCGGGTGTGACCGGTCGGCAGTGGATGTTGACTCCTCCATGGCACCTGATCCCACCTCTGATGTTTTGGAGGTCCGTGTTTGCTCTGCACCTATTTTGTAATGTTTAATGGACTTTTGAGCTTGAATACTGTTCGTTATCTCCATATATTTCATTCCCCATGTACATTTTCTAAAACAATCAGAAAATGGTCTTTAATTGAGTATTTATATATGGCCACCAAGCAGTGTAAAAGCGATTGATTGTTCGAGTTCATCAAACTGAATATTACTGTAAAAGTTTTGAACAATGCCTGGGGGTATCAGGGAAAAATTTCAGGCATAGTCATAATCTGAGGATACTCAGACATTGAAACAGTTATCCGAACTCCCAACCAAAACGGACACATTACTTTAAAGGATAGAGCTTCGTCGATGATATCAGGGACGTAGCATCGTTTTTATTATATCGGAGGGGGGGGGGGGCAACCAGAGAAAAAAAAAAAACTTACCTGAAAAACTTGACAAGCAAAAATAAAAGGGGGGGGAGTGGTTGTCCAAACCCGAAAATCCTGTTTTGTATGTGTGTGTGTGTGTGGGGGGGGGGGGGGTTAGGTTTCAACTTCTTCCATTTACAAATTTTATACATACACTACTACATTACCCTTATTTGACTTTACTGCACCAAAAGAGGGGGGGGGGCGGTAACCGACATTTCAATGAACATTTTCAATAGTCAAAAGTAATGTTTGGAAAAAAGCCCCCCCCCCTCCCCGATGCTACGTGCCTGAATATATTGAATTATTTTTATTGAATGCATCTTTAAGACATTTCATTTATAACATCTTTGATTTATTCTCTATTTCAGGTCTTTAGGAAGAGAAAAACAAAAGATTGCAGATGGATTTATTAATTATTCTCCACGTTGTACTTGCTTTACTGTAAGTGTTATCCAAAAAGACCTATAAGCCCAACCTTGATTCTTTTGGATATGATTATGCATCTACAGTACCAACCAGACCCAACCTGACACAAAGCAGTCCCAGAGCAGTCCCGGGGACTGCTTTCTGGGACTGCTAAAGCAGTCCCACAGCGGTCCCAGAGCAGTTCCACAGCGGTCCCAGAGCAGTCCCACTGCAGTCCCAGCACAGTCCCACAGCGCGCAGCACTGTTAAGGCGTACTTCGAAGAAATCAACAGAATATAAACGTGCTTAAATACATACCTTTTTAAAATGAATTTTAATTTTGTAAAGGTACTATATTATCTTATGACTTTAACATTCTCTGAAATAACATTGTATACCCCGCTCTGTACTGAATTTGGTTTGGTCACGTTATTTGATAGTCACGTGATAAATGCATGTATTGTGTACTGTATGTAGGTCACAAACAAATTTCAATATCGCAAGGGCATACCCTAGTTAAGATTAAAAATTAAAGTAATAAATTGTTTCTATATAACTTGTAGTTTATGGAAAGTGCTGCTGCTTTAAATAGAATTCGCATTTTATTAGTTTAAATTTCAAGTTATCTTGCTAATGTCGAATTATGTGTGACCTTTATCAAGTATTTTATGTATTTATTAAGTTATGCTATCGATTTGAGGAAAGCAGCAGCACTTTTCAAGTTAAGGAATATGTCCATTATGTGTATTCAAAAAATGGACAAGATCTATTAAGTGCATGCCCTTACGATAAGGCGATTTAACGAGGCACCTCGGCGTGAAACATGCACATCCTGTAGACAAAAACACGGTAGAATTAATTAAATACATTCTCTCGATATTTTTAAAATAATGGCACTAAACAAACATTTCAGATTTGTATTAATGGTCTACCTAAGATTTTCAAATAATATTCTGTTTAATAATAAAATGCATTTTTCACTGTGAAAAAATGACTTGATCCGCCTCTCACTGCACATAAAATGCGTCAAAGTTTACTGTAATGACGTCATGTCGACAAGTGCATTGCAATCAGTGACTTGTTTATATCTTGCTGTGTGGGATTTAACTAGCGACAAAAATGAATGCAGTGGTAAGTTTTGATGTAGTTCATTACTCTTATGCAGTTTAGATTCGCAAATTAGTTCATTTTCTGATATTGTGAAGAATTGCTATATTTGTGTGATGTCACAGTAAGCTTTTCCCGTATAAATTAGCCCCGCCCCCTTTATGCAGCCTTAACAGAGCTGCGCGGTCCGGCAGTCCCAGCGGTCCCAGAAAGCAGTCCCAGCAGTCCCAATGGGCGGGGTTAATTAATTTATTGGGCGGAGCTTACTCAGAAATGAAATTACCAATAAACAATGTAACTATAAAAGGCAGTGGAAATTAATGAGGCATTTCTTTCTGAGCAGTAACAACAAATATTTACAATTGTTATTTGACAGTCATTTCTGAACTGTTAAGAAAATTAAAGTACGTGTATAGAAACAAATAATAAATATTGAACTAAGAAGACATTCACACCTACTAATAATATGATTATTTAAACAAAGTTATGTGGTATATTAATTTTTCACCAAAATAAATCAATTTCTTCATTTTCTGTCATTGATATTGGTTTCCATATTTATTTATTTTTCTAGAAAATTCAACTTGAATTATTTTGTTTTCTATCAGAATTAGTTTAAATAGATTTTATAATTATAGAGCAAGGCCGATTCCCATATTATACTCTGAATGCATTTTTCTTACTGAAAAGTACTGGGACTTTTGAAAAATTCTTTGTAAAATTTTGCCTAGTATTACATTTCAGTCATGATTATTTTCACTGACTTGCCAATTTGATTATCGTTAGATTCTCTATGTAACAGTAAACAATAACACTCCACTCAGTTTTAAGTGTACATCTGAGTGTACATCTGTAAATCACGCGAATGGAACCCTCAGATTATGTTTAAAAATAATTAATCCCGAAATAAATCTATACACATTTATTGAAACAAAGATTTTTTGCAGTTCATAGATTGAAAATAGTGTCATTGTTGACCAGCGTGTTCAGTGATGTGTAACACTGATACCATTCATTGACTTTCTGCTAATCATGTCCAAAGGCTATTGAAACCTCAAGTGTTGACACCACTCAATTCCCGATATTTTCAAATGTTTAGTTTTTGAATAAATATACCTTTTGATAACTTGTGTATAAATTAAAAACTAATTCATGAATAAATCCCCAAATACTTGTTCACATTGTTTATATGACGGAAGAATTGTAGAATAATTTTATTTCATGGTCGTTTAATAAATTAATTATTAGGTTTTATTTGAGGGCATTAAAAAATAGCATGGAATGCGCTTTTTTTTTTTTTAGCATGGTTTTAGCTTTTTCAATTAAAAAAAAATCCAGTACAGTACGTCCCTCTGAATATCTTACTGTAATAACATGTTTGTTTTGTTTTTTGTTTTTTTAAATAGTGCTGATGCAAACTTTGAGTACATAATTTGATAGCATTAATTAATTAAATAGACCTAGATAATCTTGTTTCAAACACCTGTATTAAAGTTTAATTTAAGGGATAAAAATCATTTCCTGACTTCCCTTTTTAACTACTTTCATTTTTTTAAAAATTAATTCTAGACTACAATGGTGTAAATTTAGAGCACCTGAAGACATATAGTAATTACATGTATATCTATTTCTCCTTGTTAAAATTTTGTAAGAAATTTATGTTTTTTTTTATTTTTTATCTTAAACACCTCTCTGCTGAAAGTAAACAAAACAACAACAGGGAGACCGCAAATTCAGAATACACAAGGGGGCGGAGCTGTCATGTCACTCAGAACTATTTGAACGCTGCACATTGCACTCAAATAAAATAGACTTAATATGGGATTGACTAAACAAATCATTTTGTTCATCGAGAAAGCCGAAGGCTTTCATAACAAAAGTATGCGATTCGTTTTTTAGATTTATTCTCGATGAACAAAATAATTTATATAGTCAATGCTTATAATTCAATTTCAGCGAAAAACATGTGTTACTTTTCATGTACATATTCATTATTTAGCTAATTGAAAAAAAATGTGCACGAAATTTACATGCCGACAGCTGTGTAGAAATATATTGATTGGAAAATTACACGATTCTCGGGAGCGGATCTAAAAGCCTGTTATAAAGAAGGCGAGTATAATTTTCTTTTCAAAGTTATAAATTTGAAAAATTCCCAGTTGTGTTTTATTGTTTTTGTAATAATTTACTACGTCGTCGGTTACGCAAGTAATGAAAATTTGCAATTCTCACAGCGATTACAACATAATTGAAGCAGACAGAAACTTCCGTTGTTGTCAGCAAGCAAACGGTCAACGGTGACACGTCGAGTGGAGTGCAATGGAATATATATATATAAAAAAGATATCTTCAGCTAAAATAAAATCTAGAAATAAACTTGCCGTCGATACACCTTAATACACGTACATCATGATTGACAGTTAATTTGATTAATACCCTGTATAAAGTTGATGTACAGACGAAATACGTGAGAATGTGATAATAACACTAACATCCGGACAACGTAGGCCTAGTCTAGGGTCCTTCTTATTATTTAATTTCTATAACCTACATAATATTCTTTTATAGTTTGGTTTTCAATTTGTACTAATTCAATGTGAATTGTTATTTGTTATAAATAAAAACGCAAAACACGTGCTTCTTTACAGAGTTATATCCCTTACCATCTCCGGCATTACCAATTGACAACAATTACCTCGCTTAATAATTTATTTGAATATTTTTCTTTTCTCTACTCAACAATGTTTTTATTGTATAATTCAAAAATAGAAACACACGATAAAAAATTTTTCTTTCAAAGCACACGGAGAGAAACAAAAGATTTACAGAAGCTGAATTTAAATCATGAAAAGAAATCATCATTCCTTTGAGAAGGTATTAGTTTGTAAAACAGTCGCGTCTCAAGAATTATTAGAAAGGCATAAACACGGTCAGTAATCGTATCAAAATGTATAATGAAAAGTAGCTCGGTTACTAAAATTGACATTACATTCATCGGACAATGAGCAGAAAAAAATTCTTCATAAAAATACACGAGTTCAAAGTGATAAAAGTAAGGAAAATTGAATTATCATTGTACGAACACGTTACTACCGTCAATTACGTAGTATACATTCCATTTGTAAATCTCACTATTTTTACAACACAACAGACCGGCGTGAAGCTGTGCAGTTTTTAGTGCACGTGGCATCTTGTTTTGGTTTTTAAACATTATTAAAAAGTACAGTGTTAAAAAAAAATGTTGTTTTTTTTTTTTTTATAAGTAAGAAGTCTTTAATATTATACGTGAATTGCAAAAAAAACTTAACAACTTCTCTTAATTTACAGCAAAAAATTCATGCCAGATCAAAAGAGCTCTATCCTAGGACCAGAATCAATGACAAAGTGGTTCTGAATTTAACAAATCTGTTAAAAGCACCCTTGCTCATACTTTGTTTGTCTGCTTGATACCTATATTTTAGAAAATTCATGCACATACATTGTATGATGCATCTCTATGATTAGTTTATCCTGCCTTACACACACATACATGTATAATTGCAAGCCCTTTGGGCAAGACAATCACCATTTATGTTAAGTAACCTTTGCTCATCTTTCATATGTAACCATACATTATTTTTTTCCTACTTAGTAGCAAGAATCAGAGAGGAAGTTTTTCAAAGAATAAATACATTTTTGCTAAAGTATTAATAGAGTTCTAACACACGAACCTCTGACCCAAAGTTCACAATTTTGAAAAATGCAACCTCGCTTATTATAATGCCTTTAAATTTGAGTCAACGGTTCCAGAGATATTGAAAATGTTCAAGTTTTAATGCGCAACAAACACCTTTAGATGCTAAATTGTTCAAATCATGACCCCCGGGGTTAGGGTAGGACCACAATAGGGAATCCAAGTTTTACATTGAATTTTTTATACCCTTATAAA